CTTATTCTTCAAGAAAAAACCTTATTCGATAGTAAATTTCAAATATTTTAAACGTATTTTTAATAGGAACTTATATTTTTTCACCAGTGCAAAACACACACTGGCAACCATCTATATAAGGAAGAAATCAGCCGCCGCGGAAAAATTTAAATTCCGCAGATTTCTGCGCTACGGGCTACAACTACAGAAAAATTCTGCGTTGTTGAGTTTTCATTTACATGGCGTTCTGGTAAGATAGATCGTGTCAGCTGACTCGGGTTTACGTACCGGCAGCGTCGCCACTAACAATTTTTCCCCCCTACCAATTTTCTTCCCAAATCCATACATACAAAAAATCCGAATACAAAACATTTACATACATACATATATGTACCTGGTACATTGCAGGTCCAGTCTTAGGCACAGAGATGAGATCATTTAAAATTTTTTGGTTGTATGAATTATATACATACAATATGTACCAATAAGTTTAATTTCTCAAAAGTAAATTTAAATCAATTAATTACTAGGGATGGGTAGTGGGGGGTTTAAATTCGATTTTTTCCGAATTTCGAACATTGTTTAAACATTCGATTATTCGATTCGAAATTTGGTGGTACAAGTTCGATTTAATTCGAGGTTTTTCGAGTTCTCAACAATTTTCTTACTGAAAATTTAAGTTTGTTTGTGAGAAAGATAGCTCTAATTAAAAAATGGATTCAATTGAACTTACATTAAAGTGAATAATTATCCGTATCGCTCTTCTTAGCTTAACAACCTTAAATAAATAGAAATAAGAAGTATTTTTGTCTCAAATAAATCAGCCCTATCGCCAATTCCATGTGAATAAATCAGGGACCCAACCGGTTATGACTTTTGTAATAAAAGTTTCGAGAAAAAAGTTATTTTGTGAGTTTTATTTTATGAGAAAAAAAAATTACTGTTATAATTTTACTTTTATTTTTTCAGTCAAAAAATAACGGTTAAAATGTGACTTTTATTTTTTCCGGCAAAAATAAAAGGCTTAGCTATATAACAAAAAAACCTTAGGTCTAAATAAAGTAAATTTGGTACCAATCGATTCGTCTTGACTTCTGGATTCCAAAAATATGTAATTTGTTGATGTTCGGGTTCTGACTCAGCAAACGAGGCCAAAACTAGCTGCCGTTTGATGCCCGGGATAGCAACATATTAAATGCCAATTCTTAATGAAGATCCGTGGAGTATTTCTTTTAATTTTTCTATGTAAGTAAATATAATGAGGAATTGATTTAATAATTTTAGTTTTCGAGAAGTCCGTACTATACTGCTTATTTAAAATCATTTAAACACATAGGACATATGAAAACTTCAGTATCAGCATTGACATCTTAATTTGCAATTCAAGCGGATCGAAATTAAAACTTTTTTACTCCCAATTTTCAAAAAAAAGAACAAATGATTGTATTTCAAAACGTTCAAAAACAAAACCTTTTCATTCAAGCAGTAAATTTATTTTATAAAATATTGTTATTTAGCATTAAAAGCCAAATTGTTTCCAAATTTTGGACGGACAAATTATAACGTAAGTCCGTTAAAACAAGTTTCAATGCTGAAAAATCTCGTTCAACACTAACTTACTTCTACTTAGTGAGGGTTATAATCCCTAAGCGAGGCCGAAGGCCGCCCACGCAGAAAGGTGTTCTCTGCAAAAGGTGTTAGCCCATTTTCTTCGCAAAACAGAAAGAGAATTCTACTTTGGTAGGGTTATAATCCTTAAGTGCGGCCGAAGGCCGCCTACGCAGAAAGGTGTTCTCTGCAAAAGGTGTTAGCCCATTTTCTTCGCAAAACAGAAAGAGAATTCTACTTTGGTAGGGTTATAATCCTTAAGTGCGGCCGAAGGCCGCCTACGCAGAAAGGTGTTCTCTGCAAAAGGTGTTAGCCCCTTTTCTTCGCAAAACAGAAAGAGAATTCTACTTTGTGAGGGTTATAATCCTTAAGTGCGGCCGAAGGCCGTCTACGCAGAAAGGTGATCTCTGCAAAAGGTGTTAGCCCCTTTTCTTCGTAAAACAGAAAGAGAATTCTACTTTGTGAGGGTTATAATCCCTAAGTGCAGCCGAAGTCCGCCTACGCAGAAAGAAGACCGTCAAATATCGATCATTACAACACCCAACACATGTGTTAAACAAGTGTATGTTGAGTTGGTGCGTGTTGAATTCCTGTGTTGAGTTTGTGTGTGTTGAGTTGCCCTGTGTTATTTAGACATGTAATCGCTCCCACCATTATCTCGCTCGCGATCTCGACGGTGCACGTTGTACCCGTTGTTGAATTGCTGTGCAACTTCGTCTCTTGGACCGCAGCTATCAATATACTATGCCTTCCCATGAAGACGGTTATCTCCTCGATCTTGCTTTGTAGCCCGTTACAGTTAAATTGAAGGAGCTTCGTGTGGTACGGGAGACGTGTGGTGATGCGGGGTGTGAGTGATGTGTGTGGCCGTGACGCCATTGGCTGTGTGCGCTGCTGAGGTGGTTGCCGCCCTGTGGTGGTGGTGGGTGGCGTCGCAGTTGAGATCTGCGACCGAGCAGCGCAACACGGGCCCTGAAGTTCCCCGTCCAATCTCGCGTGGTGCGCAGACCTGAGCATGCCCTAAAGTGGCACCAGCCAAGGCAGGTGTTGCACTTGACTGATGTCACATTACGGAATATCCTGGTCTGACATACCGTGAAGATTGTAGGAGGAACCAAGAGCTGTTGTCGCACCTGAAAGACTTGCCACGAAAATAGTACATAAGTAAAAGTGCGAGTATTCCATCAACACCGATTGAATTGGTATACAGTTATTCGTATGGTAATTTCATATTCTAGCAATGCTTTTTGTTATACGAAAAGTTTGTACGAGTATGCTTAAACTTTGCACATATACCCAAGTGAATCAGACTTCATCTAGTTTTTGTGTCGCTTGTTGAATCGCAGAGGCCCAATAGCGACAAATTATATATTTTTGAAATCTAGAAGTCGAGACGAATCGATTGCTACCCACTTTACTTTATTTAGACTGAAGGCTCTTTCGGTATTTAGCCAAGCCTTTTATTTTTGCCGGAAAAAATAGAAGTCACATTTTAACCGTTATTATTTGACTGAAGAAATAAAAGTCAACTTTTAACCGTTTATATTGGACTTTTTTCAAAAAGTTAGGAAAATAAATGGCACGAAGGATTCTTATAGAGAATGTCCTGAGGACCTCAAGAGCTTTGAAAAATCCTGTCTACAACAATATTTTGTCCTTGATTTTTTTTTTTTTAAATATGATAACGGTTATTTTGGGTCCCTGGTTTTAAATGATTTTAAATAACCAGTATAGTACGGACTTCTCGAAAACTAAAATTATTAAATCAATTCCTCATATTTAATAACATAAAAAACATTCACAGAAATACTCCACGGATCTTCATTAAGAATTGGCATTTAATATGTTGCTATCCCGGGCATCAAACGGCAGTTAGTTTTGGTCTCGTTTGCTGAGTCAGAACCCAAACATCAACAGATTATATATTTTTGAAATCTAGAAGTTAAGGCGAATCGCCTGGCACCAAATTTACTTTATTTAGACCTAAGGTTTTTTTGTTATTTAGCGCCTTTCAAATTATAACAGTATTTTTTTCTCATAAAATAAAAGTAACCAAATAAATTGTGAACGGTATTTTGACTTCAACGAATTTCATCGTAGAATATAAAGATTCACAGTTATACGTTGTACTGAATATTGAAAATATACGGCACGCAGCTGTTTTCAACAGCGGATATTTTAAATTTGTTACTTGTTGCCGGAATTCAAGCAATGGCAAAGCTTTATGTTACATTTCCAGTACCTTATCGTCTTTTAATTCCAAAAACACCTCATCGCTTTTCTTAAAAGGGAGTATTTCGGATATTGTAAATTCATCCTCAATTATATTGCATAAAAAATGGTTTATGAAGTATGCAGACGTACATTTACATAATTTCAAATCGGCAAATCTTTTTGCAAAATATGCTTTTAAATCATGTGCAATATTTTTTTCTAGCCATGGAAAATGATGAAATATTCTTTTTTTGAGATCATGAAAAAAAGACGTAGTTTAAGCGCCACGGAGATAATCAAATATTTTTATCAATGCTTTAAGTGTATTGGTGTCGTCGGCTTTTGTCGGTTACACATACACTACACCGACTCGTTGTCCGTTATGCTTGATGAAAATCAAAAAATTTTGAAATTTCAATTTGATGACTGTTTATTTGATCGTCTCCATTTATGCTTGACAAAAACAAGCTCATTTGCGTTGTCAAATTCGAAATGGATAAGTGCGCGGACGAAAAAAAATTTATATTGCGATTCATTCAGAATTATGAATGTTTGCAAGCATTATGGAACATAAAGCTTGAAGCCTATACTAATCGTGGGGAAAAAAGAAAACAATCAGCCTCATTGCGTAAGTCGTAAATTAGGCTAAATTGTACGACTCGACAACATTGGCATTGTCTACTTTCGTGCTGAAATAAGTAAACGACGAAAATCGTTGAAAACTATACAGTGCTGCCAAGGTTTTCCGTTTTAATACACTAGTCGAGTGGAAATTTTAGGCAATGACGTGAGATTTTCTATACGATTCGACTATCGAAAAACGACTTGCATTCGACACGACTCTCGCAATGAGGGTGAATATGAGATACTGTTGGATATCTATAAGGAGCAGTACCCCAACGCTACCGTGGAGGACGTGAAAAGAAAAATAAATGTTTTGCGTACTAATTTTCGTCGTGAAAAACAAAGATTGGCCGAATGCAGCAAAAGTGGAGCTGGTGTTGACGATTCGCTCGCACCTAATTTGTTTTACTTTAATGAAATGCAATTTCTTACCTATGTTGAGACGCCCTGCACATCAAAAAGTACAACGGTAAGTAAAATATGTTAAAAATATTTGCGTTGGTTTAATTTTATTTTGAATGTGGACTTGTTTACATGCATAAACTTATGTATACTTTGTTTGCCAAGAAACTGACCCCTCGTCACTTAAATGTTCTGCGAAAGCGTCGCGAATTTCCTTTGCTCTATTTGAAGAATTTCGAATTTTCGTACATTCTAATGCATTAAGATTTATTTCTTTGCGCCATGAGTCGGTAACTTCCTTGTCAATTAAATCTGTGAATGTGTAAGTTTTCTTTTTGCGTAAGAAATGATGTAGATAGCAACAAGCCTAAACAATGGTTTGTGCTTTTTCTGGAGCGACGGCAATGGTGGTTTGTAGAACACCAAATCTCGATACTAATATTCCGAATACATTTTCCACAATTCTTCGCGCTCTGCTCAATCTGTAGTTAAAAATGCGTTCCTTGGTTGTGAGATTGGTGGCAGAATAAGGTTTCAAAATATGTTCCTGAAACGCCTTATCTGCAACAAAAACGTATGGCAAAACTCTATTGCTATTTGGTAGTAGTGATGGTGAAGGTATTGGTAACGATTTGCTGTAAAGCGCCTTCCCGAAATCAGTGTTTTTTATAACTCCACCATATATAAAGTTATCAACACCCGTTGCCCGAAATACCTCTTTTTGATACTGACGTTTGCACAGTCAACTCGCACATGCAATCTTATCGCGCCTTATTAACCGACTTCCAAAAAAGGAGGAGGTTATCAGTTCGTCGGAATATATATATTTTTTTTTTTTTATGTATGTTACCGCATAACTTTGGACCACGTCAACCGATTTCGATAATTCTTTTTGCATCGGAAAGGTAGTGTCTCAGAGGTGGTCCCATACTAATCTGGTTAAGATCCGATCAGCGGATCATGAGCTATATATATATATATATTTTTTTTTTTTTATGAGAGTTGAAGTCGGGTTTTTTTTTGCTAAAAATTACTTGTTTTAAGTATTCAGTTACATCAAGAATGTTTTTTGTTAGAGCCGTACAGTTGTGGAATTCTTTGCCAATAAAACTAAAATCGGAAACTAGTCCAAAGCGCTTCAAATCGGCTGTGTATTCTTTCTTCTCAAATTAAATCCTGTACCATCGTATTACAAGTTTTTTGTTTCCTGCTTTACTATTTCTTTCTTCAACTGAAAAATATAAGAAATGTTCAAAAACTGGTTTAGCAACTGATTAGTATACATATATTCTTTAAGCTACCAAAATTTTATTATTATATAATTGTTTTGAAATATGGCACTGTAAAAGACTATGTCTTATATGTGCATTTAAATAAATAAATTGAAATTTAAATTAAAAATTCGCCCATTCGTGCCAACATTCGGTACTATGAATTCATAGTTCGCATTCATAGTTGCCATGAGTACAATACTAAAAAATTTCTTGTAATTATAATATAATGAGCCCGACTCAGGCGGTTTTTTGATTTCAATATGTTTGCGTCTATTGCGCCCATGCAATTTGGAAAATTCCAGTTAAGTTTAAAATCTTCTGCAATTCGTGTCCATTCTGATTCTGATACCGGTACCTGAAAATAATACAAATTAAATGAAAAATTAATATATTTTTAATTCTGTATTTACATACATAATAATATAATACTAGAGTGCCAGCCACTGTCGAAATTCGACCATTCTTCTAGTTTTTTAAGACCCTTGGAGAGGTTTTTAACTTAGTCCGTCGTTTAACTTATAATGTACAAAATTACTTGCCGGAAAATCTCTTGCTTTCGAACTAAACCTTAACATAAATTTTTTATATATTTGAAGGTCGTTGGCAGGACTTGAAATATAACCGATACATTCCAGTTTGCCGATAAATTTCGATAATTTGATACATATCGATAATTCAGTGAATTTCAAGAACACTGAAATCCCTAAACACAACAATAAATTTCGATAACTTGATAAATTTCATTAAATTGACAAATTTCGCTAACCCATACATTTTTGTAGCTCGATATCTATCCGCAAATTTCGACAACTAATTTTCTGTGTCTATAAATTTCGACAACTCAATTAACATTGGTCAATTTCAATAATTTTACACGTTGTTATAACTCAATAAATATATATAACTCGATAAATTTCGCTAACTATAAACTTCGATGACTCGATAAATTTCAGTAATTTGATAATTTTCGATAACTAAATTTTTTATAGCAAAATTTATTTCAATTCCTATCGAAAAGTAAGTGCACCTGGACCACATTGAAGAAGTGGAACTAAAGTTGCTTATTTAGAAATTGTGAATAAAAACAATGGGTGTAGTTAATACAATTTTATAAGCTCAAGGTTATATTTTGTCCCAATAGTGTTATTGAGCTTTGTACCACGATTTGTTTGTTAGGAATAATGGAAAAAAACTACAATTCTTAAGCCGTAGAAGTTATAGCAGCTATTTCAGAGATCTCCTCATCAGACTTCTTTTTTCTAGACTTTCAGCAGGGATCGAACCCGCGTTATCGATGTGCAAAGTCAGAAGCGCTAACCACTGAGCTATGCACACCCCGTAACCTTTTGTTTTATCTTTTTTCTATCTTTATCCCTACCCAGACCTGTCGCGAGGGTAAGAATGGGGGATTCCTCCCCGGGCCCCGGGCTTTTTAAGGGGCTTGAAATATCAGAGCCATAGCTTGTTATTAGTTTTTACAATTTAATTTTGAAAGAAAACAATGCGCATGCTTTCAGTAACCATGTTAATCGATACAGAAACAAATATTTTCCCATGTAATGCGATGTCATTTAATGCCAAATCATGTGATGTCATGTTATATGATGTTATATCATGTGAAGTCATGTCATACCATATGATGTCATATCATGTGATATCGTATTATGTGATATCATATTTTGTGATGTCATGTCATGCGATGCCATATAATATCATGTGATATAATGTTATATGATATCATATATTGTGATCACATGTCATGTGCCGAATATTAAATTGATAACGCTCTCGATAACTTTGTCGATAAATATACCAATAAAAATATCAATAAATATATCGCAAAATATAACGATTCCAAAATCGATTTATATATTATTAAATATATCGACAACAATATCGATTATTACACCGATAACAAAATTTATAACATTATCGATAACAATATCAATTATTTTATCGATAACAATATCGGTTGTATTGATAGAAGTATCCATTATTACGCCGATAACAATATCGATTATTATGTCATTAACAATATCTTCATCCTCATATTTATCTTTATTTTTGCATATTCCCCGTTACCTTTACCTTATAGTGTTTAAATTAACTTTGATCGTCGTTTTATCCTGTATCTTCACGCATATTTGTTTCTGTTTTTATTTTTACTTTTACCTTTAACCTTTTCATCGTCTATGTACGTACTAAACTTTATTTTCCTTCCTATATTGGGCTTAATCCCAGTCTTATTCTTAAACCCCTTATTAGCACGTTTTTGTTAAATTAATACAACATATATTAGAAGCACTTTTTTCCGTTGCAACTATTTCCGTGTGCATCATTGCCCATTTACTCGCAACCAACGAATCGCCGCTAAAGAAGTTTCACTTCAAAAATACAATACATTTGTTTATCCTTTAGTTACCCTAACTCTTATGTATTTCTGACTGTCTCCATTTTCGTCTTTGTCTACACTTTTGCCTTCTCTTTCTTGTCTTCATCGTTATCATTTATTTCGTTATCTTCATATTTATCTTCATTTCTAAGCTTAATTTCAAATGCGAAGTGAAACAACATGCGAAACATGTCAAATTGAACATGTTGCAGCAACGAATACACGAATACGAAAATGTTTAAACGACGGTTTTGGCCGTAATTTTCAACCAATTGTGAAACCATAAAAACCAGGGCTGCAAACCACTCCAAAAATCGATGCGGTTCGGTTCAGTGGTTCGAACCACTTAGAGAAAACTTGCACCGGTACAAGAACCGGTTCATGAGTGCCTCTGAACCGCCGGTTCGGTTCGGTTCAAGTGGTTCAATTTTGTACACTAATAGCCAGTTTCACGAAAGCAATTTAAGTGAAATTTTTTTTATATGAACTTAATATGGAAACTGACAGAAAAAATAATGTTTCGCTTAAATTTCGTGAAACCGCAGTAAATGATACAAATATCAAAAAAATATGCCAGAAGCATGAATGTGCAAATTTACCAATTTTGAGTTATTGGGTTTGTATGTTATACCAAAACCCAAAATGCCATGCGTACACGTAAACCACAATATTTTACAATGCCAATTACATGAATATATGTAGAGTTAAGTCTCATAAAAAAAAACATTTAAACTAGATTTCCCAACATTTTAATTTCTACACGTTCATGTTTCCGTCATAAGGGGACGATATGTATGTATGTGTGTATAAAAACCAAAGGTTTTGTTATTGAGATCAAATTCATTTATAATATTTATCAAAACTTTGCTTTGTTAATTACAAAAATTAATATATATATATACCACACTAAGTGTGAATGATGCTAATAGTTATTATAATAGCATGACAATACTGAGAATGATTATTATGTAATAATAAATTCTGTCGTTGAGATCAAATTCAAATATCATCACACTTATGTAGATATATCTCAAAACTTTGCATTGTTAATTACAAACATTATTGTTTCAAAGAACTTTTGATAATGAATTGGAATTCATACTTGACGAAGAGACAATATTGCATCTAAGTTTGAAACTTTTTAGTCAGAATTACTAAGAAAATCGAGTGTACAGTTTTACAGCTCATTAAATTTTAGTATAACAAAGTGCAAATTTGAAGTGCCTTAAAAGAAAATTTTAAATTAACACCAATTTTAAGTCCTTCAAAGTTGCACTTTATTATACGAAAATTGAATGCGCTATAAAACTGCACACTCGATTTTTTTTATTCATTCTGACTAAAAAGTTTTGAAACTATTGTGGCAATTTGTGGATTCCTTTTAATTTTCTTACAAAGTTTGGAATTTGGATTCATGTATATGGGCAAATCTAAAAAATAGGTACACTTTCAAACAAAAAATTTTAATTTTTAAATTTGTGAGCGACCCTATGTTTTATATATCATTTTATTCGTAATCTCTTAATAAATCTACTAATATAAGTGTAATTCATATTCATCAAGTGCTTCAAAAGATAGACGAGGAATAAGTATGAAATAGAAAACAAAAGAATAAGCTGGGTTGAAATTACGCTGTTCAAGTTGTAAACTTTGAGGAAAGATTTTGAAAGTTGAACTCACTTAATTGGGATGTTCTAAATTCAATGGCATGCCCTGTTTTACCAGATTGGCTCCGGTTTTCGAGATAACGGTACTTGAAAATTTGATTAAATTTTAACTATTTAATAAATAACTCCCTCAATTTTAAAGTTATTTTACTAAAATTTTGCACATAACAGTTTTTTAATATTACCTTAATTATTCCTTAAAATTATCGAAATAGGTTAACATTAACATATAGCTCCAATACAACTGATTACTCAGATATGTGT